TAAATCCAGGAGGGATAATTTAAAAATTACTGGACTACCTAAAAAGAGAAAGAAACTTCTTTAAAGGCTCTCTTCCATCTATGTATCTCCCATGAATCTATCAAAATTATACGAGATGCATCCATTGGTTCTAATTCTTCTTTACAACATGACTAATGTGAATGTAGGTTCAATATGAATGTATATGTAGAGCCTACATCAAACTGCATGCTGTCTTGGGGTAGGGGGATGGGAAATTGGGAAAAAATTTGCAACTCAAACTCTTATGGAGGTGAATGTTGAAAACTAAAAATAAAAAAAATTTTAAAATTGTATGAGATGCCTTAAAAGATGTTAACAGAGACAACTTTCTTTAACGACTCTGATCAGGAGAAGTGCTTGTACTATGGTACAAGGGGATATATGTTTGTTGAGCAAAGGACTTCATTGTTGTCATGGAGAATAATTAAAACAGAATGCAAATGGAAAAGGGATTTGCTATAGAAAGTGATATCCTCCAAATGTTCTTGTTTGCAGGCATTGTGGTTATTGAATCAGACTCCAGACCACTCAGCGCCTGCTAATTGAGGTGCATCACCACTCAAAGGAGTTTGGTTTAACAGGAAAAACCAAATAGATGAAGATGCTAAAGTTTTGACTATGATACCTGAGCAGATGAACAACATCTAGGGCTGGTTTATCAGAGCATGAATCTTGGACAGACATTACAACCACAAAGAGATGGTCCTGAAATTGAATAAAAGTGAGCTGTACTGCCTTTGGAAAATGCAAAATGCTTGTAATGATCCCAAGCTTCTCCATGAAACAAAAGCCAACCTTCTTCACAATCTTCTGATGATGCAGTATCGTTGAGAGTCATGTGGTATAACAATATCCAAAGAATTAAAGTTGAAGGTCACCTAGATGGTAATGCCATATGGTAATGGCGTTATGAGCAGGCTATATATAACACCTTATTAACAAAGGAGAAGTGACATAAAGAATATCAACAGAGAGCTGACAGGTAAAAAAAAAAGATAGGCCAGATACTTTATGAGAGCAAGGGATAATGTGAGAGACAGTCTGCATGTTCTATATTTACAGAATATCCAAAATCTAAAGGTAAGTTTTCTTTTGAATGGAGGGATACAGATAACAGAGATCAGTTTAAATTTCTATGTGGATTGAAACATCAGTGGGACATCTAAATAGAGATATTTACTAATCTGTGTACATGCTGCAATCTCTAGTAAGATTCATGATGAGAGATTGTTTCATTTTTGTCTTTTTATCACCAGTACCTAGTAATGGTGCATTGTAGGTACTTAACTAATGCTTTCTAAATTGAATTGCTGAAAATTAACAGGTGGGTGGAAATACCTCAAGTTCTGGGGAGAGCTCAGGGGTAAAAACAAGGAACTGAGTGTCATCTGCATAGTAGTGGGAACTGAAGTCACAGGAGTGGATGAGATTATTAAGGAGTCAACAATCTAAGCAAGAAAGGAGAAAAAAGCCAAGGAAATAATTTTGGGGTCCATTCATACTTAAGAGATAGGAAGAATGGAAGGGGAGATGAGCCCACAAGAGAAAGAATGATCTCAAAATAAGAAAACACACTGTATTGTCACAGAATCCAAAGGACCTGACAGTATCAAAGATTCTTTCTTTTCCTTTATACGTCCTCGTAGTATCTAGCAAAGCATCTTGTACATAGTTGGCGCTCAACAAATCTTGGCTAAATGAAAAATGAGTTGGTTTCAGACACTTGACACTTACTAGCTGTGTGACCTTGGGAAAGTCACTTAACCCTGACTGCCTGGCCTCCCACCACACTCAAAAAAAGAAAAAAAATGGGTAAAAGGACAAACAAGAATCTATGATAGCATTACCCTTAATGAGTATTAAATTGCCCTTCTAAAGTAATCTTCTTGAGCAGAACCAGGAGAACATTATACATAGTAACAGCCACGTTGTGTGATGACTAACTTTGATAGACTTAGCTCTTCTCAGCTATGCAAGGATATAAGACATCTACAAAAGTCTCATGATGGAAAGTGCTATACATATCTAGAGAAAGAACTATGGAGTTTAAATACAGATTGAAGCATATTATCTGCTCTTTTTTTTCCTTCTGTTTTGTTTTGTTTCTTCTTTCTTGTGGTTCCTCCTATTGGTTTTAATTCTTCTTTAAAACATGACTAATGTGAAAATATGTTTAATAGGAATGTACATGTAGAGCCTATATCAGATTGCATTATGTCTTGAGGAAGGAAGCAGGGAGGGAGGGGGAGAAAATTTAAAACTCAAAAACATATGGAAGTAATGTTGAAAACTAATAATAAATCAATTTTTAAAAAATTAATCTTCTTTATTTGGAAAAATATTCACTGTTAGCCTATTACAAATCTATAGATAAAGGCCCTATGTATAAGTAATTTATTGTGCTAAAGAAAGTGATTTTAAAAAAAGCATCATTTTCTAATTTTTGGTCATTAATCAAGTATTTAGGAGGGGGGAATTGTATAGTAATTAACACTTTTCTAGGCACTATGAAAGGGTATATTTGTGTGTATGTATATACATATATTTGTATACACACACACACACACACACACACACACAAAGTGAGAGAGAAGCATATGCTGAAACATGATCTTTCTGAAGTGCTTTAGTTTCTACAATTAAACTTAATATTTTCTGCTTACAAGTGCAAACAGTTTGGCAATTACCACATTAATCTTAACTGAAGCACAAGGAAGCTAACTTGCCCATAGCCATGCGGCAGCAGATATCAAGTTCCCTAATATGTGAGGGCTTTTCACTAATTCAATTTCTGTAGAGCACAAGAAGAATGTGATTCTTAGAGTGTATGTACCTTCTCAAAATGAGGGGAAAATAATGAAATAAAATACTGAAAAGGATGTTGTGACTAAAATAATGTAAACTGAAAGAATAAAACAAAACAGAATGCTGAATAATTATAATAACCAAGTGTGGCCCCAGAGAAGAGCTGAGAACACATATCTTGCTTCCCATCATTGCAAAAATGGGGGGGACCATGAATATAAAATACTGCATAAATTGTCAGACACATTTGATGTGCTGGTTGGTTTTATTGTACTTTTCCCCCCTTTCTTAAACTTTATTATAAGGAAAAGCTCCCTAGGTTTGGGGGAGGGAAGAAGGATAAATTCAGAAGGGAATGCGATTAAAAATAAAAGCATCACTAAAAACAAAATAAAATTAACGTAAAAAAGGAAATTACACACATTTGATTTAGTTATGAAATTAAGTCAGAATGCTATTCTCAATTCTGAACAGTCAGTCACATCAATTTAACTTGGAAAGATACTGCTAGAAAACTGTCTCAACAGAGAGGTCAAAACTAAAATTAAGAATAAGCTAAAAAGTAGTCAGGGCAGTTAGGTGGTGCAGTGGATAAAGTGCCAGGCCTGAAGTCAGGGAGACTTGTCTTCCCGAGTTTCAATCTGGCCTCAGACACTTACTAGCTATGTGACCTATGTGACCCTGGGCAAGCTACTTAACCCTATTTGCCTCAGTTTCTCCATCTGTAAAATGAGGTGGAAAAGGAAATGGCAAACCATTGCAGTATCTTTCCTAAGAAAACCCTAAATAGGGTCATGACAAATCAGACCCAACTGAAATGACTGAACAAGAAAAAGTTGTCAGATATTTCCTTCACATGTTCTACCAGCACTGAATGGGTCAGATTATAGATGTAGGCAAGGAGTGTGTGTGTGTGTGTGTGTGTGTGTGTGTGTGTGTGTGTGTGTGTGTCCCCAAAAATGTAAGCACACACATAAGATGCTTTTTGGGAAGAAGTTAGGACACTGTTAGAGGCAGCTAGGAAATCACTGTTGGCCCTAGGTCAGTCTGCCACTCAATAAACATTTATTAAGCACCTACTATGTGCTAGGCACTGTGCTAAGCTCTAGGTATACAAAGAAAGTCAAAGACAGTCCTTGCTCTCAAGTAACTAACAGTTTAATAGACTTTTTAGGCCCTAGGGGCCTAAAGGAATTTATAAACCTGTGAAAATCCCTAAACTTGGGGCAGCTAGGTGGCACAGTTGATAGAGCACCGGCCCGGGAGTCAGGAGGACCTGAGTTCAAATCTGACCTCAGATACATGATACTTCCTAGCTTACTGTGTAACTCTGGGCAAGTCACTTAACCCCAATTGCCTCACTTAAAAAAAAAAATCCCTAAACTTAATAACTAGCCATAAATTAAGTAAAATTATTTCAAACTAAAAGATATAATAACTGAATACTCTGAAAAGTATCTACTTTTTAAGTAAAGCATTTTTGAAGAAAAGTCTTTCCCATGAATCTTTTTAGACAACTGCAATTCTCTTGAATACTGTCGATTAAAATAAGCAAGGGGTTTTAGTCTTCCTTTATTTCACATTGACTTCTGAATAAATCTGAATTTTCCTACAGTTAAAAAAATGCAACTCCCTTATATAATCTGCCCAACTTTACATGCCTAAAATATTAAAATACTAAAATAAACAACGTAAGAAACCAAAATTAACTACAATAATTTATTCTGTACTTAATAATAAATGATCAATTAAAACAAATAAGAGAGTACCTTAAAAAATTTTTTCCCAAAAAAATTGGTAGGAAAATGAGAAAAAAGAAGGCACGTTTCTTTCTTGAATATATATTTCCTCTTTCTCTAGTCCCTTAAGTCCATTGTGACAAAAAACTGAAATCATTATAACCATCCTAAACCTATAAGAAGAGGACTCAAAGTTGTCCCTCAGCCAGTAAGGCAACTCTGGAACACCTTTGTAGTAAGTATTTTATATATTAAGATACAGCAGAAGAAGGATTATTTATCTTATTTGGGACAACTGTGCAAACTGGTAACATCAAGATGTCTTTGAGTTTCTTATTTTTGCATAACTTAATTATACTACTTCTGTTTGTACCTAAGTATTTACATAAAGCATTAAAACACTAACATACTTTAAAAATCAAGTAAATACCATACCATGTGTCCTTCAGCTCGAGCTTTATTTTGCATGGCTTCTTGTTTCCGCTGTAGGAATTCCTCTACTTGTTTTGCTCTTTCTGCAGGAAGCTGTCCCCTTTGCCTAAGTAATTATAACAGGTATGTTAACTAGTGTGAACATTAAAAAAAAAAAAAAAAGCCATAGTTAGAAATGATGTTCCAAATAATAACAGGAAAAGAAAAAGAGGAAAGGAAACTAGAAGATAAAATCACTCTCTTTTATGATGTCAGTAACATAATCTAACTAGACAAATCAGATTCAAGAAATCAGAAATTTGACAAGAGAGAACAAGGGAACTCATATGAAGATGTCTCTTACTTTTAAAATGAAGTGAAATTTATATTATGTAAATTCCTTTACACTATGATTCTTTCAACATTTGTATGAGCTATTTTTTTAAATGACATGCTTATTTTATAAATTGATCATTTATTATTTCACTACAAAGTCGTTAGAATAAAAAAAGGAAAAGGAAAAGAAAAAGTGAATAAGTGGTAAATTAGAAATCACCACTTAAAATTTACAAAATAGAAGTTTTATGAATGCCAAGTGCTTCTACACTCAAGTAGGTAGAAGCCCACCAATAATTTCACAGATTTGAATCAATGTTTGGCAATTTGTTTCAACAATCTTTCCAAATTCAACTGCTACTAATCAAAACATAGGAGCTTGAGTTAAATTGTTGTGGAAAACTATGAAATAATGAGAACATTCTCTTCCATCCCAATAAGATTTCAGACACTCCTACATTATGTGTATAGAATGGTCAGACTATAGTAAAATATATAATAAATGAAAGAGAAAAAGAGAGCAGAACCAAAACAACAACATACACAGTGACTGAAACTATGTAAATAAGTACAGCAGCAATAAAATTTGGAAGAATACACCAAAGTAAAAACAAGTTCAGAAGGAGAAATTGAAAAGATTTTTGTCACTACCTAGTTAAAGTGAATATGCAATATTTTAAAACTTTTATTAAAAGACACTGTAACAGACATTTCCTGTTTTATTTTTGTATTCTTGTTTGTCTATTTGAATATTTGCTTATGATAAAAACATTTTAAATTATAGGTGGTGATCCTAATTTTATGACTACAACTAGGTACCAAAATCAAAGTCTATTTACTTAATGTATAAAATTGAGCTTCAAGAAACTAAACCTGCTCCAACCCAAAATTAAACATGTTAGGATCCCAAGGTCCATTTAGCTTATGTGGTAATTAAAACAGATTCTAAAAACTAAATGCTGAGAATAAATACATTGCAGCTCATCACTCTATTACTCTAACAGATCTTTAAATTCAGGACAATGGTTCCTTCACTTAAAGGATATGTTTAATGGTCTTTTATGCACTGAAATAAAACTAAGCACAACATGTGAAAAGCATTGCCCTCCGTTTACAGAAATGGCTGGTAAATTTGGAAGCATAAAATAATGGCTACTTATAACTAAATGAAAATTTCAGATTTCTTGAAGGCTTTTATATAACATATTTCTTTTTTTTCTTCTTTACAATAGGATATGTACAGAAAACCCAAGAAGCACTGGCCAGAAACTTGGCTGAAATGCTTTAAAATTTTGGAAGGGCGATGATGGGGAGCAGCATGATGCAGTGGAAAGAGGATGAGTTTTGGAGAAAAGGATCTAGATCCAAATCTAAGTTGTACTACTCAATAGAACATTTCCAGCCACTGAACTTCTTTTGGCCTTTGTTTTATCATTTGTAAAATGAAAAGGGTGGACTAGTTGATCATCTATGAATAGGTTCTGGCTATAAAGGTATAGCTTGATCTTCCCTGTACAGATCATTCTCTAATCTTTCTCCTAAGTTCTAGATGAGCATTACCAAATGGCCGTCCATAGGCACCATAAACTCAGTATGTCCAAAACATAACTCATTTTATTTTACAAGAATTGACTCCTCTTCCAAGCTTCTTTATTTATGTCAAGGGCTGCACCATTCTTCCAGTTATGCTGGTTCAAAGCCTAGACTTCATTCTCAACTTTTCATTTACCTACATTCCTCGTATACCATCAGTTACTAAGTCTTATTCATTCTACCTCCATGACAATTCATTTATTTGTTCCCTTCTCACCATTCACAAAATCATTCTAGTTCAGGCCCTCATTGCAACAACCTCCTAATCTAAGGTTATCTTCCATTTATACTCCGTAAATTTTATATGTACAATTTTTTTTTTTTTTGCATTTTGTTTCTCGCATTAGAATGTGAGTTCTTTGAGGGCAGGAACTGTTGTTGCCTTCTTTTGTAGCCCCAACATTTAGCACAGTGTCTGGCTCATACTAAATGCTTAATAAAAACTTGTATACTATCTGATGCCAGGTCATATATTCCTAGTTATTTTCACTCTCTCTTGACTGAATTTCCAGACATTTGACTATTTTGACTACCCTCCTTTGGACACATTTCAGCTAAAATATTTCTGATGTGGTCTGATTAGTGCAGGGTAATGTTCCAAACATTTGTGCACTTTAGCTGTAAAGTTGTTTACCTTCAGTGGTTTTTCTGGAATGAAAGGGATAAAAATGAACCACATCAGTAGAATGAGGAGTTAAGAGTGCAGTAAAAAAGTGCATGTTTAATCAGGGCACCTCAAAATATACACAGTTAGTTTATAAAACAGATCAAAGGAGAAAGAGCATTGAAATACTAGAGACAGTGATCAAACTAGGTCAATTTAGTATATAAGAGAAAAGAGGTAGTGGTTGAATAAGGCAACAAGTGAGAAAAAAATTATTTTCATATAGGGAAAACCTAAGCATGTTGAACACAGGAAAGGAGTCTTGGAAGGGATATGCCTAAATTAATATCACCTTCTGTACAACTTACAGTCTTAGAGAGGTTAAGTGATTTGCTTGGCATCATGCAGCCAGTGCGTGGCAAAGGAAATACTCAAATCTTTATATTCTCAAAACCAATCTCAGCTCTCTATCAATTATGCCATGTTATTTAAATGATTTAATTAATAAGCATTTCTATTAAATGTAATAGGGGAAAAACAGAAACTCAAAATGGTGAAAATGAATCAGGTTTGCTGGCAACAGAGTTACATTTAAGAGTACAATATTTTCTGTTGAGGTACACAAGATAATGATAAATACAACACTGAACTCCTTAGAGTTCTTTACCGAAGAAATTAGAGGTTTTTATTTTTTAAAACATCTTAGGCTAATTAATTGAATAACTACGTTTTTAGGTGTACAGGCGTAGAGTTTGAAACATCATTTAGCCCAGTCTAATCATTTTACAGATGAGGAAACAAGGGCAGAGTGTAGCCAAGTGAATTGTCCAAGATCATGCAATTATTAAGCATCCAAGTCAGAATTAGAACTCATGACTTCTAACTGAAAAAAGCTTTTTCCATTGAGGCAGCTATATGGCCCAGTAGATAGAGTGCCGGACCTAGAGACAAGATTGCTTGGCCTCAGACAAACACTATTATGATGATGATGATAATGATGACCATGATGACAACAATGATGGCAACTACTACAACTACCACTACCACCATTTTTACAGTATTTTAAGGTTTGCAAAATGCTTTAAAAATATCACATTATTTTATCTTCACATTAATCTGGGGGGGGGGGGTAGGTGCTATTATTATCATCCTCATTTTACAACTGAGGAATCTGAGGCAAACAGGGGTTAAGTGACTTGTCCAAAATCACACAGTTAGTAAGTGTCTGAGGCTGGATTTGAAGTCTACCCAGTCTACCCAACTCCAAGCCTAGAACTCTACCCCCTGCATCATCTAGTTGCCTCAGACTGAGGGAGAGAAGAACCAAGAGAGAGCAGTGTCAAAAAATCCTAGAAAAGAGAATGTTGAGGAGGATAAGGTGATAAACACTGTCAAATCTTGTGGAAAGAACAAGAAGAATGAGGATTTAGGATACATGAAAAATAATACATATTCAGGGCATCTCAAAATACACAGTTGATTAAGAAAAAATTTACAAATAGAAACAGAAATGTAACAAGTTATATTATTCTATAATAAGATTACAAGTGATGTGATCATACCAATAATAGGGTAAAAGAGATGAACAGAGATACAGAATTTGAAGTTTAAAGAATGTAAATTGATTTTATTAATAATAAAAATTTGACATGTAACACTTTAAGGTCTGAAAAGGAATCCACTGATCACCTCCTGAAAAAGATCCCCAAAGGAAAACTCCTAGGAATATTGTAGCCAAATTCCAGAATTCCCAGGTCAAGGAGAACATATTGCAAGCAGCCAGAAAGAAACAATTTAAGTATTGTGGAAACACAATCAGGATAACACAAGATTTAGCAGCTTCTACATTAAGGGTCTGGAGGGCATGGAGTATGATATTCTGGAGGGCAAAGGAGATAGGACTACAACCAAGAATCACCTACCCAGCAAAACTGAGTATAATTCTTCAGTTTAAAAAATGGTCATTCAATGAAATAGGGGACTTTCAAGCATTCCTGAGGAAAAGACCAGAGCTCAATAGAAAATTTGACTTTCAAATACAAGACTCAAGTGAAACACGGAAGAGGTAAACAGGAAAGAGAAATCATAAGAGACTTATTAAGGTTGAACTGTTTACATTCCTTCATGGAAAGATATTTGTAACTCATGAGTCCTTTGTCAGTATTAGGGTAGTGAGAGGGAAAAAAATTATATGTGTATAGATAGATAGATAGAGGGCACAGGGTGAGTTGAAGATGAAGGGGTGATATCTGGAAAATAAAATTAAGGGATAAGAGAGGATTATACTGGGAGAAGGAGAAAGGGAGAAGTAGAATGGGGTAAATTATCTTACATGAAACAGACAAAAAAAGGCTTTTACAGTGGAGGGGAAATGGGGGAAGGTGAGAGGGAATGAGTGAATCTTACTCTCATAGGATTTGGCTTAAGGAGGGAATAACATATACACTCAATTGGGTATGGAAATCTATCTTACCCTAGAGGAAAATAAGGGGGGAAGGGGACAAGAGAGCATGGGGTTGATAGAGGGGAGGGCAGATTGGGGGAGGAGATAATCAAAAGCAAACACTTCTGAGGAGGGACAGAGTCAAAAGAGA